AGCTTTGACTATGCCTCAGTGCATTTGGTTTTGGTTTCCTTCGATTGACCACGGTGCTTTTACCATTGTCCGTTGCATTCAAGTTTTTCGCTGGCATGTATGACAACGTTCCGAAATACGTACGCAAATTTATCAAACGATGTACCGACCAAATGGTAAACCGTGGATAGCCAATCGAACGAAGGCGTTCACTTTCAATATCAATGTCAGCTATAAGTCCCCAACCGACCGATAAAAATGAAAATAAAATCTGTTGAAGAAACAAAAATGTATGCATGATAGAGACGGACATAGAGAAAGAGAGGAAACGGAAGAAAATAACAAAAAAAGATTTGATAAAATAAATGCATGAGCCAGACGTTAAGGCCTTCGATCAATTGGCAAAACATTTGGTATGCTTGGACAGAAAAGTCAATATATTATGATTATAAGTACCTCTGATTTCGTTTCAACACGAACTAAATCCATCGGCGCACTGTGACCTCTAACAACTGTTAAGGCAGCATTCAAAACGGGTTTCGGCTCGTATGGCTCGCTGAAATGACAACCAAAAAATCATTGACCTTGTTGAGTAAAGAGTTTTCTCTTTTATTTTTCTTCATTTTTCTTTCTTTCTCTCCCTCTCTCTCTCTATCTCTCTCTCTCTCTCTCTCTCGACTGAATACGACCAGAAAGTTCGATTATTCGGTAAGAACCTGTATGCTGTGCAAAAATCCGCATGAAGCGAACCGACAACGAAGAAAAAGGGCTTGAAAACAATAAACAATATGGATTCTCATCCATTATTCTCTTCTTCAGTAAATTAATTGGTCTTTTGAAGTCGTTTTTATCGGCAAGTATCAATAAATGTCATTCATAATTTTCTCTCTTCTTTTTTGGCATATTCTCAGAACGAAATCTTGAACTACATACAGTGTGTGCATCCGACCTCTAATTGTGCACATGCAACGTGGCACAGTACTTCGTTAAAAAAAAGGTGCTAACTATCTCACGAATAGAACAACAACGTGAATTTCATCCGCTGTACACCGGCTTCGACAATTGTTTACTCATTCCAGAAAAAAAGTGATGCAGAAACAACTGTGCTCCGAACAGTGTAACGTGCGGTTTGTATTTGTTTTTATTTACACATTTCACATTATATACAAACAATAAAGTAATTTGATTTTCGTCCGATAAATGCTGGTAATTTATTTATCTGTGGGATGTTAAGCATCTCCCTTTTCATTTTGTTCTTTTTTTTCTCTGTTGTTGTTGGTTGCGATGGCAATAACATTTTTGATGGGGTCACCTTTGCATTACGAAAACGGATTCGTGTGCATTTCATTTTGTCAAGAATCTCACTGTAATTGCGAATTTGATAGAGCGAGGAGAAGAAAAAAACGAAATTGCTCCAAAGAATTCAACT